TTGTTTCCGAATCTGTGGAACTCGGCGACAGATCTGCACTTGTTCGTTTCTGCAAAAGGTTCAGTTTCGCTCATTGCACCACTCTGACTCACTACTACATATAACGGAATAGTAAATATTATTAGTCAACGCATAAGTTCACGGTAGACTTCTCAAGAACGTGTACTTAGCACAAGTTTGTCAGAAAAAGTACCGTTTGCAATTCGGTGCGATTTCGAGCCTCTCGCCATTTGTTCTGAGTTTGTAACTCCCTCACTTTATCTTTCAGATAGAACACATCATCCTGAAAAAATGTGCGAAGTAGATTTTCCGCCCATCAAAAAAACTTTTTTTATAGTTGTTCAGTCTCGCAAGAGTGCTCCTGTTTTCCAGTACCAATCAAATAATACAATAAAAGCACATAATCATGATTCTCAGATTCGTAATTTTTGCTTTTTAACGCAATTTACCACTCAAAAGGTAGTTTTCACAACACTAAATACAGGTAACAAGCACAGAATTTGAAGAAACTATAATTCATCGAGTGATGAGTGGCTTAGTAATGACGACCTTGTGGCGCCGTGGCGAGTAAAGCTTCTGTCATGCTTAGGATTGAGGGATAGATTTTGTCAATGGGACAACCAGTATGTTTATGATTTCTACATTCGTTTCGTTGATAAACTGTTACTGACGCTTATCGAATAGACACACAACTTTAAAATTTAAGCAGAACAGGTTTATCAGCGATATTGCCAACGATGGTTGTAGTTGATACGCTCTACTGTTCAGTCTACTTCCGCATGCTTCAGCTTTCCATAGAGAATAAACTTTGAAAAGGTTACGACTTTTTTTTTAAAATCCTTTAAGATAACATTTTGCATTTTTTTACGTCTGTTTTACGCAGAATTGAAGGGCATTGCCTGCGGGAAGAGAGTTAGCTTACTTCCAGTTTATATCGTTTTTCTTCGGCATTTTCGAGCTCATTGTGAAGCCGCACGGAGACTTCCTTAGCAATCCGCAACTCAGATTCCAGCTCTCGTATACGCATTGCATCTGACTGTTTTCCGTTTATTGGCATTTCAGCATTGGCTGATGATGCTCCCAACAAATCCTGCAAGTTTTTTGGATTTTCGCTTAGTTGCCAGAGCGATCAAATTGATTTTGAGGCGATCGTGAAAGTGCACTATATAACCGCATGCACGTCTATTTCAGCGCGCTGCGATTAGCAAAAATTTGCTAAATTATAATACAATTACTAGTCTCTTTTGTTATAAAATGATGAAAACACGGAAAAAAGGAAAAGGGGCTGAACGAAGGGAAATCAGTTCCTTGGCATATCCTCACTTTTGGACTAAATGTATACCTAAGTGACAGTAACTGTGTCACGCCTTCAATGAGCCGTAAGTCGACGAAAATTTTATTTTGAAGCAGATGAAGATTAAGATGACGAGCCACTTATTTTTCAAAAAAACGTGTAGGCAGCGAAGAAAACGAGAAATAAGATGGCCTGTTCCACTGGTTCTGAATCAGTAAATGAAACTTTTTTGTTTTATTTTTTAAATATGAATTCTTGACATTTTTTTAGCTCGTTCTTGATCCTAGATTACATCGATCAACAGCGAGACTATCCGGGAAGCTAGTGCGGGCCTAGATGAAAAGTCAGGTTTTTTTTTAGTTCAGTATTCATAAATTTATCTAAATTTGATCCTATGCCGATTTATTGCTGGATTACAGTTGTTGATTTCGTATACAGTCAAAAAAAAACCTTAGGCTCTTAAAACTCTCAATTCTGGAGTCAACATATGTGGTAAGATTTACAAATGTCGGTGGTCTCACCTGGATGGATGCTTGTGAAATTAAAGTCGCAGAGTAATGCGACAGAAGGAAAATGTAAGCAATAATCGATTTGCACTCAAATTTGTTACAGAAAATAGTGCACGAACTTGAACTTTAGCTTCGAGGTGCTGTTTCTCGGCATCCAGTTGCTCGCGACTACGCTCCGATTTCCGGAGCTTAAATTGCAAAATTCGGCAATTTTTTGCATTTTGTTCAAGCTCACGCTGCAACTCGCGAAACTCCTCAATCTCTTCTTCACGATATTGGTCCTGCAAAATATCATTCGTTCTTCCATAGTTTAGTCGTCATATAGATAGCCAGAGAGGAAAAATGCTTTTTTTCATATTAGCTGTGCCCTGAAAACCCATCCCGTCTGTCGTTTCAAAAGATTCATTTCGAACTGTGACAATTTTACTGGCAGACACGAACTGCTGACTTGACAGTAGATGATGAATCCCCCTTCACAGGACTGCTAAGAAAGCAAGCTGAAGATTTTATGATACTAAGTACAACAACAACGTGCTATCATATAAAGGACACTCAGACAGATTTTTGCGGAAAATAGGCAAGAAAAATTCAAAGTTTAAAATTCCGTTGTATTCACTGGCTAGGAGCTATAAGGAGCGAAAACAGCCCAATTCTGATCAGTACAGAGCTCAGAGTAAATTTTAAGGTCTTCCCTGAAGAATTAGAGACTAAAATTTAATTAAGAAAGCGAATTTGTGAAAACGCTCATTTTGTATTTATGCATTTTTGCATAGATACAAATTACAACCCAGGCTGAAACGCACCGAGCGGGCCCGTGCGATCATACGTTTTTGCACCGGACTTGAAGTACTCAGGTCATTAACTGCACGATTGGCTTTGCTTTATACCTACCTGCTGCGGTCACTAGTCACCATAAATTAAATTAAATCACCATAAATTTTGCAAAGTAATGTATAATTTCCATTTAACAGCCGTTCTTTAAAAGTAAC